TGTTGCAGTATAAGCCAGTTAACCAGAAATAATGCTAATAAGGTCATTTAATAGGTAGGGATTTACAATTTAAACAAGGAATGTTGTCTCACTTCCTTTTTTTTTTTTTTTTTTTAAACCATACATCGATGCTGTAGTTTTGGGGGCTTTTTTGTTTGCTTTTTAAAGATGGAAAAGGTCAGTTACGTACAAATACCAGTTTTCAAATAGCCGAGACAGCAAAATAAGAAATTTATCTCACCTAAATACATAACGTCACTTCAGTTGTCTCATAATATTCTCCTAATAGTGTAATTCAGGGATATTTTATAGTTACAAGTGTGCTGTCTCAGTCTGCGCAGACAGGGAATCAAGGCTTCAATCAAACTAAACTGACTGCAGCAGTATTAGAGTTCACAGTTATTTGGGAAAAAAAATTAAAATTGTTAAAATTAAAATTGTTATATTTCCAACAATCCAAGCAAATACAACATTCAAGAATAGGAAAGCAATGAAGGTTTTGCTTTTGCAATAGCTAATTTAAATTAATCCTGAAGCTAAAAGCTATCCCCTTCAAAGTGAGTTCAAGTGTCCCCCAACATTTTGAAAACTGAGTCACTTCGCACCTTGAGAGTTTTCAAAAGGGCTGTTAAGCCTCTACAAACATTTTTAGAGTTATTAACATTCATCACAATCCCCAAGAAAGTTGTGGTTAAAAAACAGTTTTGTTTTGGTTGAAGCCAGGCAGACTTTTCTCCCCTTTATTTTTTCCATACCACTCTTGTTCCCATGGCTGAATTCTAGCCTACATTTATACAAATTCTCACTGACCAAAAAAACCAAACTCGTTTATTCAAGCTATCACTTCACCAACCTGAGCTTTATTCCTGCTACTTCAGCAACATATATGCAAGACTACTACTGACCTCACAGAACTGACATTATGCAGTCATCAGCTTAAATTCCGGTGCCAACAGTTCAGAGGAAGAAAGGGATTTTCCTTCCTCCATGAACTGTGCAAAAGGAACATGCACAATTCAGCATCTTTGGTATGATTTGTTAACAGAGACCTTTTGCAAACTGTATGTAATCCAGTGCACAGCTTAAAAAATTGAAATACATAGTTACTTTATGATTTTCAGAAGTGCAAAAGGAAAAGGGGGAAATAAAATCCTGTTAGTTTTCCAGTGAGGTGTAAGGCCTAATAGCTATAAGCCCTTTGAAAATTCAGTCTTAAAAACAAAGGCAGAAACTCAGTACACCTGAACTCCTACAGTCATCATGAGAACTTCAAGTCAATTGCTGCACTGGTTTTAGTTCTGTAGTTGACAGAACTGTTAAACTCAAAGGGTTTGTGCTCTTTTCTCTAAATGTTCCACCACAACAACAACAAAGTTCAAATACTTGAAAAACCAAAAGCCTAAAATACTATATATAAATCCTAACTGATCCTCCTTCTCTTCCAAACAGGTTGAATGTTGAGAACATGATGGTCGCCACAGTATGCGGCTGCTGTAGGCCACTTCAGCTTCTTAAGAAGGAAGTCCAACTACCCTGCCAAGACCCAGATAACCCTGGAAAAAGGCTCATTACAGAAATAATTTTATTTAATGGCTGTGTTTGTAACTTTGACAGTTGCATACACTAGCTAAACCTCCAGCTGGCCTCAGACTTTTTTTTTTTTTTTTTTTAAGTAAACACTGATCACAAACACTTCCACAGTGACTGCTCATTTTTGGGAGTTCTCTTGCATTGATTATACAGGATAGCCTTGCAGTGAGGCTTCCTGAGCAGCTACCTGGAGTGTCAATGACATTAACTGATAGATTATTCCTGATCAGAAGGGGGTTGGGGAAGGAGGGGGTGGGGGTGCAGGTGGGAATAAAAAAAAAGATTGGGGCAGGTGAGGGTTGGGAGGGGAGACCATGGCAGAGACTGTCTGGCTTTGCTCAGGGTGAGATTTAACCAGAGGCTAAAAACTGGCCGATGCACTGTGCAATAACAGAAATTTGACTTTCAAATAAAGTAGAAGGAATTGAATTTGCTAACTTATTTCTCATTATTTGACCAATTATTTTAACTGAAAAGTCTGCCAGGTTCACTACAGTTGAACTAGGACCTGTGGAATAGCCCATTACTTCCCTGGGAGAGGAGACAACTGCCTTGACCCACTCCCTTTGTTTTGAAAGTGGACACAGCACTTGCGCTTGTCATCCATGCACAGCTGTTGTCAGAAAGCAAGGTGCTACATGAACCAAAAGCTAACTGTGAGGTTTCTACACGTACCCTTAATGTGGTGGTACATTTCTAGAAACATCATTAACACAGACACACTGCTTTTGGACAAAGCAGAAATTTGCAGGGCATTTCCCTGCAAGAAATCAAAGACCATGTGCCTAACAGGACACAAGCTTTTTTTTTTTTTTTCTTCCTTCTTTTAGCAAGTGTTAGAGAAGTACTATGAATTTGAAGTATATATTTAAAGTTTGAGTGAGGTTATTTAGCAGTGTAGATACTCTTCTTTTACAGCAACATCGATTTTTTTTTTTTTTTTTTTTTTTTTTTACAAATTCTGCCTCTTTGTAATACAAGCGTGTGCTTCATACCATACCCCATTGTTACACCAGCTTAGTGAAGCAAAGTACTGTTAATATACTTACTGTTGATAAACACTATAGGAAGAAAGATTTTTACACAAAGTTTAGTTGTTGTTTGGTTGGTTTTGGTTTGGTTTTTTTTTTTTGTTACAGCAGAGTATTTGCAACATGTGACCAAACACACCAACAAGAAAAAACATTAACAAACTCATTGGGGCAGCAAAGATTTGCAGGCCGGGTAAGACTCAACTGAACACAACCCACCAGTAGTTTGTAGGAAGGAATTTACCATTACACATCAAATGTTGTTCCATAACCACCATTCCATGCAAGTATTCTTTACACTTCCATGCCCCCAGACAAAAAAAGGACAGTTTTATTACTGTTCTAATCATTTATTTAATCTTAATACGTTCTTCTGATGAATATAGTCTAATATATAGTCTTCTATATGAAAATTCTCCACTTAATTTGACAGAACTTTGTTTTATACAAATAAGACAATCACCATAGATGTTACATACTGGAGTGTAGGTCAAGAATGAACATGCGCTACCTGTTTTGCTATTCAGTTATTTTCACATGTCAATGCCTAAAAATACTGTACTTAAAAACAATAACACTGTTTACTGCAGAAATTACTTTGTCTGCTTGACAGGATACATCACTTTGGTAAGTTAACCATCATTCACAAAAAAAATAATCAAGTATTTGTCCTTAATTTTTTCATGTTTCTGCTCATGGTTCCATTGAGCTGACATTTAATACAAAGCATGAACAGTCATAAGCTTAACACAGTCACCACTGAAAAGACACTTTCCCTTACCCCCCATCCTTCGCACATTATAGCGCAGCTTGAACCAAAGCAAAGTGAACTGAAGTAGTGCAGTGTTTCACGGTGTCCTTTTACGAGGGCACACAACATTTTCAGGGGGACAGGTATACAACAGGATTTGTAAAAAATGAAGTAGAAGCTCCTCCCCTGTCTTTGCTAAGACTCCCTTTAGTTCTGCACATCAGATTTTTAACATCGCAGCCACCAGCATGGTTAAGGTAACAGGACTAATGAAGAGACACATGGCATCCAAAGGACAAAACATAAGATAGCCCATTAGTATTTTGCCAACTGTCCAACCTAACTGCAGGATCTGCTCATGAAGATTTTCAAAGACAATGTTTGTGATCAAAGAGTCTTGATTAGCTACTTGAAAGGCTATAAAAGGGCCAATTGTTCAAGAGAACTTTTGCAGAAAGACCAGGTCTATAGCCAAGTTTTCACTCATAATATCTATAGTTACCAGCCATTTCTGGAAAAACAAAACAAAAACCCCCACCACCTCACAAAATCCACACACCACAGCCAAACCTTTATTCCTCATTTTTCACTTGCATTCAAACCAAGTTGTGTTACCCAGTTCCATCATTTAATTCAAAACACTGAAGAAAAAAAAAAAAACACCAAGGCACACTCAATCACGTAGAATGCTGTCCCCTGCTATGCACTGCGCAGCATGACAGGAGCCTCATTTAAATGTATTTTCAATGTCATCACTATCACTCAAAACCTTTATTTCATGGGCATACTTGGCTATGTGTGTTGCGAGACACCACTCCCCAGGCTTCCTTTAAATAACCTTAAGGAAATCTTGATCTGAGGTTCATTTCTCATGTCAGAAGCAGCTGACGTTCATTGTGACCTGCAGTACTCACTGTCAACTGCCCACAGTTTCTAACTGCACTACCTCACTGCTTTGTTTTAGCAGCCTTTGTTACATCTCAAGGCTTGAAAGTGTGAGCCAGAGTTGTGTCCACTTGCTTCTGCAGAGAGGCTGCAAAGATTTTGCTGATGTGGAACAAGTTACATAGGCTTTGGTCGTAAAAACCACTATAAAAACTGAATTTTTTGGTCCTTCTACTCTCGGTCTCAACACAAGTCTTCTACACCACATTGGATATTTTCGCCACCACTGACAGACTGGAAACTGTTCAGATACCAGTTATTCAACCTCTCAAATTCTAAGATTACTGTACACTGGGGAAAAAAATATTGTTTAAAATTACATTTTCATCTAAGAGTGCATGCCTTACAGCCCCTCAAGGGCCCACTTCTTCCCACTTCTCCTTTTATACAATACCAGACTCTGCAGTTAGTCATATCACATGATTAGCACTATTACTTGCTAAGTCTGATGGCAAACAGAATAAACACAGAATAGAATATTTAACTTCAGTTTGACTAACAATGAACAAGCATGTTCTCATTCACCACCTACCAGAGAAGCTCACCTCCTTATTCGAGATAAGCAGAAGGATTAAGAATAGCTTTTGTGTTCAATCCACTTTCCAAAGATCAGAAAACATTAAGATGTAAAGGATTACAAGATTAATTCTTTAAGACTCTGGTCCTGTGGCATATTTCAAATACAAATATTGGTGACACTTAACACAAACATTCACTTGAATCAGATTCACACACATCTTGGAATCTGCCTTTCCGTCCAGTACAAGACTTGCAGAGTCAACATTTTGTTAAGTTGAACATTGCTGCATTAACCTTACTGAGCAGCATGACATTGGTTTCTTTCAGCTCAGAGCAGAGGGAGTACCTGTTAAAGGCACTAAGGCTGAACAGTTACTAGCCATTTCCAGTTGAAATCCTTGGTTACCACATCTAAATCAGTTTCCCTTTAACAAGTTTAAAAGCCTGACCTCTGCAAAAAAAAAAAAAAAGCACAAAACAGCCCTCCCACCCTTTGTGTAACACACTAAAAGCCATTTTTAATGTAAAAAGTCACTTCCCTGTACTGTACATTTTAGTCTTAATTTCAAACAAGGGTCAAGTCCTATTAAGGCAGGGAGCTGGTATTGGTTAACATTGCAGTACTCAGACAGTGATGTACAAGACATTTATTTGCAGTATGACGACAGCGATATAAATGGAAAAACCAAAACTGACATGGTTAATATTAAAACTGTTCTGAGAGCAATTCACATAATCTCTGAGACACAGCTTCTTTACTTGTTCGTAGTGTGAGCCTATACATCTGAAAAAGAACATAAAATATTATTAATTTTTTAAACACAGTTTGGTATTAAATGAACGCACAGTCAAATAGTGAAAGCTAGCAGTTGCTTCTTACTTGTTTTCCTAGATTTGGTGTGAAAAAGACCTCAAGTTAAAACATCCAGAGGCAGCCAATCACTAATACAGCTTTTTCAAACCACAGACTGGAATACATCTTCAAACCCTTGTTGAGAGTTACCATTGTTCTAATATTTTTAAGCTTTAGCAGCAAGGTGTTGTCCAAAATTTTTCTTTAATAGGAGTAAATGTCGTGGGAAAAGTCTACAGACTCTAAGACACTTCTTCAGAAAACAGTAGACTTACCACCCAAAACTTACAAAACTTCGATAAAACCTCTATCAAAATGCTTGAGGAAAAGTATTCTTAACATTGTGTTTGTTTTCTTGTTTTCTCTTTTAGCCAGTCATTCTGTTATTAAACCAAAACGGCAAAGAGAATTATACTTAGTCATCTTGTCCAAGGTGCACAAAACAAACATTAAATGTTTTCAACTTCCAAGAGAAGATGAGACTCCAATGGACAGTCTGGAATAATACAGTGATCTCCTCCAACAGGAAAAAGAATTGCTATTAAGAAGCAGCTTGCCAAACTGGGCCAGGACCAGCTGCTACAATTCCATTTCACGTTGGAGTCTGTGGTCAAAATTAGCTATTGCAGTAGTAATTTTAAATAAATACCTTAAGGAGTTTCAAATATACCCAGATATTTAGTGCAAACAATAGCTTGTATTCAAGCTGTAGATACTTAAAGAGATACCTGTGCCTGGAGGTTGGGTTCAAGGCGCAGCAAGCATCCAATCTGAGTAGTTTTTGTATGTATGATACCAGCACCAACAAAGTTAGCAGGATTGGGATCTACCTCCTCAAGTAGGGCTGATCCAAAGCCAATTATCTGTGAAAGAAACCCAGAAGACTTAGATGTGGGGACAGCAGGACACCAATACCAAGTCTACCCAAGCACAGCCAACACCAACTAGCAAAACAAGTATAAGTAATTTTTATTCAAAGTGTTCAAGACAAATTTTTGAAGTGACAGAGTGACCCTGATAACAAGCTGTTCCTGAAAAAAAAAAAAAAGGTTCTTCTAGAAAACAACTGAGAAATAAGTTAGATATAACAGAAATCTCTCCTGCTTTTGATAAAGCCACTCCTGTCTCACACTAGTCACTTCTGTTTTGACTAAGGCAGCCAATTCTACAAAAAGTCACTTGTTTTCTTTTGTAACTGGTGACTCTAGTACAAATTAAGGCTTTAAGTATCTTCCAATTCAGTTTTAAGCACCGAGTTGGTGTTTTCTTAAATAGCTTCAAGTGAGACTATATCTAATTCAAGCTACACTGAGAAACAGGCCACTCAACGCAGCACTGCCAAGGGTCTGCTACACAACACGGACTTATACTTTAAAAGGATGATCCAACTGCCATATAAACCAAGATGGACAAAGTTTGCTTATACCACTATGCTTATACTACAAATTAAAGATACCACACTACCACCCACCTTTGCTTTTGTGATCTCTGCATCCATTGGGTGTTTTGCTTTAAAGATATTCTGTACTTCTTGTTTCGGACTGCAAGACAAAGCACGATGAATACACAGTTTAACGTGTATTATGTACAGCATTGTTTTACAGCAACTAATTATATTGGGAGATTTTATAACTCACAGGATTAAGTATGGGATGGGACACTGCACCAGCTACATTCACAATGTACACCTTCTTGTCCCCCCCCCGGCCCCAGCCCACCACAAGAACCCCAACCCACAAGTTCTTACTTGCTGAGTTGCTTCCAACGCTGAAAAAAGTCTTGAGAAGACATCTCTGTTGGCTGGAAAAATTTATTCAGTGTGATGGGTAATTTTACCGAAAGATTTTGAAATGTTCCGCCATACCTGCATATGGAATAGGAAGAACAGGGGGTATGCAGCACAGTGTCAACAGTCTCAGCCTAAATCAACCAAACCATTCAGGATGATCACTAATGTGCAGTTGTTTATGATTAAAATCCATCAACTGCAGATAACGTTATTTCTAAGATACAGTTTTAATCCACTGTTAAATATATTTATTTGCTCTGCTTAGATGGCACATGAAAGCGAATTGCCAGAACTTCTAATAAGGATCTCAGTTTCAACATAGGTTGTTGTCCTTCTAGATAGCACACAAAGGAGTGAAAATATATCCCTGTGAAAACACATCAGTAAGAATCAGTTTAGACTAGAATAACAGAATGTAGCTCAGAAATCACGATTTCCCAAAGGCTGATGTTGAGTGGACATAATGAGATTCTATTTTTGGCTGCACGCATTTCCAGTCCAAGTTGTTTGCAGAAATGTTCTTGGTTTCCAGAAGGGAGAAGTTACTATCCATGTTCCTGTCAAGATTTCTTAAACAAACAGGAAGACCGTTCTATACGCATAGCGGAAAGAAGTCATGGAGACATTTTATCAGTAGCTGCTTCTTGATTAGGTGTTTGTTGGTTTTGGTTTTTTTAACCACATTGTTCCAAGTGAATTCCCTACGTCCCCTAGTAGTTTAAAGCATTGTTAGATCAATTTTTCAAGTAAGTCGTCTACCCAAGACAGCTTTATGTGTCCACATTCTACAATTCAGTCAGAAGACAAGGACAAATTTAACATCTTTAATCTAATTAATTCATTAGCATTTGAATCCTGTGTTTTACCTGAATTGAATGTTCAGGATTGGAGCTTCCATAAAGTCTGACACACATTCTATGTTCACAACCTGTTGAACCTGTGCTCCTCCATCCACTGTGGGGTCAACAGGTTTTGTCTGAAGATTCAGGCATAAAAACTGGTCAAGGAAACTGATCAATGAATTTTAAAAAAAATAGCATTTCCTCTAATAAGCTACATGAGGAATTAACATTGTGTCCACTCATTCTCTACATGCTACTGAATATTCAAAGCTCAATTCTTGTACAGCACAAAAAGTTTTTTCACACTGACACACCTAGAAGCCATAACCCCCACGACTCTCAGTTATATGGATATTCTTAAAGAAAGATGCCCTCGAAAAGGCATGAAGGCACAGACAGATTTCATGATAAAACCCACAAGACTATCTCATTTTGATGTCAACATTACAGTGATGCTTTGAGTTAAACAAGTTTGATTACATAGTCTCCAAGAAATCCTAAATTTGTACTACCAAGTGTTAAGGACAAACTGTAAATTAAGAGCTTATTTTGAAGTATCATCATCTTTGTGTACACGCTTTCTTCTACCTCCACCTCAAGTCTGAGATTATCTGCTAATGCAGGACTTGAAGGACACCACACTTACAGCCCTGCTACTTCACTACAGCGGAGAAAGCTACAGTGTTACATTACATATTTATACAGCCTAATCTCTCAATATTTCAACAGTAATTTTTTTGTTTGTAACCAGAGCTTTAAGGAGAGAATCTTCCATCCCTGCTCAAGACTTGTTCTTTCTACAAGAAGTTTACTTTAGAAAGTTATCAGCAGAAAGAGGTTTCTCATTTCTTCATGTTCAGGGACACCATGCCTCAATCCAACACCTTTATTACAATTTTGAGAGGCATAAAACACAAAACCCAAATAAGAACACACACACGCTACTGCATTTAAGGATATTTGACTGTAGGTCATCTGAGCAGATTACTGTTGGAGTAAAATTCAAGAACTGTGTTGATGTCTTATTACCATAGAATATGAACATACGTCCTAGAAAGAAGAGAATAAAAGACATCAGAATTTTTAGGTCCATCACATGTAATCGTATTGAACTACTTGTGCTTCAAGTATCTCATACACTGTCTTTCTACCTTTCTTTAGAACAACTTTTAAAAACATACCATAATTTACGTGGTTTATCTTACCAAGATATTAACTGTTCAAAATGAAATAACAAATTAAAACAAATCAGACCTCTCCCACAGTAGCTGTCCCACAGGCAGTTAAATAATCAGTGGAAGTCTTTCAGTTGCCAGAGAACATTACTGATTATGCAAACAAGCTATTACAGTACCAAAAGTGATGCAGAAAGGGAGAAGCACGCAATTATAGTGCTGGCCTGTGTTTGATTCCCAGCTCCTTCCTAGATATTTTTGTCACCTTGTGCATTAATGTACTATGATAGACATGTCTGAAATGTATTGCGTATCATACAATATAGCTTATTGTAATTGTAAGATATAAAAATTGAGGACAATCATCCTTTATAACCATGGCTGTACCAGACTTACAACCAGGCAGCAAGAGCTGGAGCTTACAGTACCCCTTAACGCTCCCATTTCATCTCAGCTACTAAAAGAACCAAAAAATTTAAGAAAAAAAGAACACACACAGAAGCCAGAGACACATAAACAGAGATCTTAAAACAGGTTAGGCCTGAAATCACATTTCCCTCTAAGTAGCTGAAAAGTCAGTCCTATCCAAAATATCATGCTTGCATTGACTTGATAATGCAGGCAGCTAACCACTTCGCCAGTAAAGCTCTTACCCAGGTTCTGTCGAAATTCAGATTTCAATCCAATTTGTAGCAACTGATTTTCAAATAAGACTCCATTATTTTTACACACAAACCTAGGGGAACAGAGGGAAAACGTGTTGTATATTGACCCATATTAAACAATATTTAGAACCACAAAATTCAGGATTTACAGAGGATGAAGATTGTGGTTAACCTAGAGTGCATCAGTCTGTGAGAGAGGCCTTTGCAGAAAACTGCAGTTAGAAACAACAATTTTACAACCAAAACCACCACTTGTAGGATACTAAAAGAACTGAATTTTTTATTTGATAGAATGTCTGAGAAACTACGAAGGAAGCCACGATATGCTATATATATACACACACACAGAGTCTATAAAGGACCAGGCAACAGACTAGGATTTTTCTTATTCATATTCTTGACAACTTATGAAACTCATTACGTTGGTGCAGAATTGAAAAGTTTGAAGCTTTGACTGTTTAAACCTGAAAGAAAAAAAGAATCCTTTGTTTTATCAGTTCTGTATCACAGAAGTCAACTGAGAGCTGTATTTTTTTTTTTCATTTTGAGAGAAGAAGCCCATTCTGCAGTGATTTCAGTCCTTTCTGTCACTCTTCACTTAAAAGTAGAAGAGGTGGTGAGCAAATATAAGCCTTTTGCATACAAGGCATCTAAAACATACTCCTAAATATCAGTGCTTCTGACTATTTACTCTTATGTTTTTCCTTTATTTGTGAATAGTTGCAAAACTTATAGAACTGGCATTGCCTCATTTTAGAGCAGTCTGTGACAGCATTGACTCAGAAAGGCAACTCTAACCTGTGAATTCATGACCTTGTCATAAAAACCACATTATCTACAGAAGTGTTCTAGTCACAAGTCTGACAGTACATGTTTCTCTAGTTTTGCTGGTACTAAGTTAATGCACAATATAGTTTTGCTTTATAACTATATTCTGGAAGTTGCCCAGCCTTGCAAGGTTTTAGTATTGCTTACTTGTGAAAAAGCTCATCAGCATCATGCACAGTATCAGCTGGTTCCTCAGAAACTACCTCAGATGAAGCCAGGTCAGGGCTAGTTCAGGCAGCACAAAGGAAGAAAGGCAGTAGCGACAGAGATAGCAGGAGTTAGTAAAGACAGCTTAGTGCTTAGTTATTTCTTTTACCTCCTTCCTCAAAAATGGTACTGTTGAGTTTAATGCATGAAAAGTTTATTAGCTGCCCTAGCTCAGTACACCTAGAAAAAGGTATTAGGCAATGTGGTCCCCCGCTTCTCTCCCGCACCCCACCCCTCCCTGATTGTCAGGAAGCAGCAATTCTTCCCAAAGAAAGGAGACAGCTGAAGGTGTTCAGTAGCTTAAATTTATACCTCTTAAAGAACTAAGTCATATTAGGTGTTTAATTGTGACAGCAGAAAGGTTTTAGTTCAAAACCATAAATGTAGATGTATTTTAATTACTACAAATGCGCACTTTGAAGCGGAGGCCTCATCAACCTTAGTGGCACTTCTAACTGTAGCTGCACAATCAGTTCTTAAAAACACGCAAGTATTAAGTGTAGGCAAGAACATATGGGCACACAGAGAATGACTTACCCAAGTAACAGATTAGAAACAAAAGTGACAACAGCACTAAAAAGAGGCAGGAAACTGTAAAAGGCAACTTCTCAGTATCATTAGAGAAGCGTTTCATCATCTACAGACAGACCAAGGGGTTGGGCAATGCTATACTTTCTTCTGCAGAAAGAGAAAATTCTTTTTAGGTAACTTTTGCTTATGAAGCTACTAGTATTGGTTTCTTTTTTTCTCCTCTTTTTTTCTTTAAAAAAAAAAAAAAGCCCTAACAAGCTTGTGTATCTTCTTAAAGTCTTTATATTTTGTAGCACGATTAAACATCGCTTATTGCCTTCCAAGAGAAACACAGGATCAAGTCTTAATCGCTGCAAACCTGCAACAATGCATTGTCTAGTTTAAAATTTTGATGAAAGCCCCAAGCAGATTAGTTTCACTAATTATGTTTTTTATATTAAGATAAGTTGCAAATTTGTCATGTCATCATTCAAAATTTGGACCTTGGCAACAGCAATATGCTCTCTGGCCAGTGACAAACAGATTTTTAAAGACATTCTGTGATCTTATACTATATATTTCCAAAATTCTAGCCAAAGAACATTAAAGTGTAGCCACAGTGGCTTTTAATATTAAAGGGATTGACAACACACTGCATCTACACTAGGTAATGTAACTAGGAAGATACTTCTATCAAATCCCCTTTAAAAAAAGCACTTTTTTTCCCCACCCTTTACACACCTGTTTGTCAGACAATAGTAGAACAATTTAAGTATATCTTGAAATTCTGAGAACCATTATCTCTGGATATACTCTATCTTACTGTTCCAGTATCAGCTAGCCATAAGTGGAGAGACACAAGAATACTTTATGGAAATAAGATAAGAATAAACGTATGCATATCAGGCCAGATGTATTGAGATGCACAAGCAGCTTAGTTTAACAAAGAAGCAAAATCAGCATGAATACTAGACAATACTGTGGCCAATATCCTCAGGTTGATTACTACAGACTCAGTTTTTCCATGAGCAGAGATACTCAATAAAGATAGCACATGCAGCACAGAGTTCAAGAATACCCCTCTTGCTGCACAACTACCACCCAGGAATACATTCAATAAGCTGGAATAAAACCAAAAGTTATTGTATGCCTTTTTCTCTAATCCTGTTTTAACAGAGAAATTCTTTTTCAGATTCCTTACAGCATGACTTAATTACCTTGCAAAGTTGTCATCAGAACCAGGAGCAAGAGGTGCAACTGCAGAAGGAGAATCTGAAAATACATCCACCAGCAGGCTGCCACTAGAGGACGGTGGGGGAGCCGAATTGGTGAGAGGGGCAGCACCCAGACCCAGCAGATCTGCAGATGGAGAAGGAGTAGACTAGGGAAGACAAGACATTTCGGTGTTAGCACTAGAGCAAAACTAAAACAAAGTTGTCTTTTGCACAGACAACAAAGCTATGACAAAGTGCCTTCCTCCACCCCAAATCAAGCTTTGAATAGATGGAGGAGGCTTCAGGAAGGTAGTTATCACCTTGCATTTCAACCTAAGGTCATTTACAGATGCGGTTGGTGGTTGTTTTTTTTTTTTTTTTGCTTTGAAGAGAGTTAAGTCCATCTAATCATTAAATAAATAATAATAAAACCAAAATTCATCTGTCTAAAATCTGATTCTGCAGAAGAAAGATGACAATGTTTTTCCTCCTCTCTTCTCCCCTCCTAATTTCAAGGGCATTTAAGTACTGTAGGGAATAAAATTCAAGTGTGTTGCTTTTCTTTCATGAAGAATCCAGCAAGAAACACAGTGGCTTTTACACAAACCTAAATTAGAGCATCACAGCATCTTTAAAATTGAATTTTAGTTTAGTCTTGGGTTTTTAAAGCTTGGCAAACCTTAGAAACAATGTAAAACCTAACCAGCACAAAAACAGAGCCTGTAGCTAGTTCAAGCTGTAAACACTAAAAGTACAGGCAAGACCTTTAATTTTTTTTTTCTCTCAAATAGTACAAATCAAGTAGCCAGGACACAGAATCATGCAATGTACGTGCTCAAGTCATGTGCAAGAACAAAGCACAGACTGTTAAAATGTTCATGTATTGGACATCAGCAGCCTACAATACGCCAGATACGCTGAAGATGAGTCATGAGATGCATGTGTACTGAATTTGAAATTTTGTTTTTGTAACCCAACTCAAAGTTATCATATACTCCAAAGACTGAATTTGATGCAGTATAATGAAAAATTCCCTAGCAAAAATATTTCAGAAGCCAATCAGGAAAAACTACCGAAACCAAACAGTTGAACTCCAGTTCGGAACATATTCTCAGCATCTAAGCTAGGGTCACACCAAAGCCACTGATGAAGGTAACATAGTGGAGTTTCTTAAATGGCTGCAATCTGTAAAGTGAAGCTCATAAACCACAACACAATTTTAACTGCCAGTCACCTCAGTCAATTTGGCATGTAAAGAAAATTTGGCAACTTTTCTGCTGGCAAGGTATTTCTCTCCATTCAAAGATACTGCACTTGAAACACGTACTCATACATATTGCAATGACTAAGAGTTAAAGAATTATAATTTAACAAACTGGGCAGGGTTTCTTCAATATTTCTTTCCTCTTAGGTAACCTACTACTACATCTCAAATATAATTACAAGTTACACTAGTCATTAAAAGCAGAAACAAGTATTACATTATGGGAATGATTCACCCTACCAGCTTTAATTGACTATAAAATGAGAAGTTTCTGCTCAGAAAAAAATAAGACTGTGGCCTCGTCTACCATAACTGAACTCAAATAGTACTGTCAAATAGATAGTAACAACATTATATTGATTTAAGGACATCCACGTTAAGTCAAGTGTTATCCACTTCTAGTAAAAACAGTAGCAACCTGAAACAACATGCAAACGATCTACCATGTTAGACAAAGCAGAAGAACAGCCAATACTTTGAAATTCAAGTTATTCTTTTTAAATATGTTAATTTAATCATCTCACCTTCATGGCAATTTCACCAGCAAGGAAATTCCCATTTCTAAGTTTACGGCAATATTTTTCCAAGTAACAACATAAGGGACTTTTTTTAGGCTGCAGATATTTTGTCCCATTTACATAAGATTTCCAAAGGAAAACTGTATCCAAGCATGCGGGGGTGGGGGTTGGGGGGGGGGCAACTATATGTTCCCCTGTTACTTTATAGCAAACACTCAGTGTCTTAAATTTGAGATGAGACGTTTTAAACCCCAAAAAAGCCACTTTAAGGAAACCATTCTTTTCTCACTTGCATGCTGTCTAAATTAGTGAAATAACAGCTTTTAAACTCACAACAGCACTGGCATTGACAGAGGCAGGTTCAGCACTTCCGTTCATATCAGAGCTCCTCTCCTTTTTGATCTCCTCCAGGTCAGTAACTGTGCCTGGGCCTTTCTTCTTCTTGAGTTTAGCCAAAATAGAAGACTCCCTCTCTGGAAAGGGAGGCATTTCTTCCAGCACTGTAGCCTTATCATAGGAAAAAAAAAAGTATTAGTTAAACTTGCAGAAAAAGCCAAACCAGCTTCCGAGTCTTTGAAGATACACACTTATAGATTACTTCTGCTTTTGCCTCATGCAATTATCCACACAGAAAACGACTATGTAGTTTACTGTACAGTGATGGAGTAGACTTGCTCTAAAAAAAATAGTTATTTAAAACTCTCCTCCCAAAGCAGTTGTTCAAGAGAACAGGAGCATATCACTTCTCTGGTACATTGCTATTAAAATAAAAAAGAAGTTAGATCATAGGAGACCTAACAGTCCTTAAGTCAAACAGACCTAGACTGAAACCACCAAAAAAAATTACCCAAGGATCTAGTCAGACCTAAGCATTTATTAGCTGTCAAGACTAAGTGTGCCATGCTCTGGCCAGACCTGAGTTCATCAGGTTAGAACTGTGAAGAAAATCAGCACAAGTACAAGTTTCCTGGCTGCCATCAACTAAGTCCTCAAAACAAAGCACTAGTCTTTTTGGTATCTGAATACTGTGGGACCCTGTATTATGCCACCTTTCTCTGGCTTCCCAGCTCCAGATTAGCATGCTGTAATGGTCATTTGTCCCACTAAAGCAGGGACAACAACTTTGGGTTTAGCTCTAAATTAAAGATGATTGCAGTTGAATTAGGTACACTAAAAGAATCGGCGCCCACATTGTGGATCCTTAATCCTACATTAAGATTTCTGAGCAATCAGGTAAGGTTTAGCGGAGCTTAGTTGTTGACAGAAGACACAACTAAAGAGTTCTGCATAATAAAAAAATATAATCTTTATACCTACCAATATATCAGTACTTGCAATAGTACTGAGCCTCAAATACTCAACAGCTCTCTGCTGCAGCTCAACATCAGCATTCTTTAGCTGACTGTCACTGCGCAATACATCTTGAATTGTAGTTTTGATTTCTGGAAACAGGTTCACAAACTTGATGTAGGTAGACAGAAGCAGAGCTCGGGTAGGAACACTACACAGGTGAAACTTGGAATGTAGCAAGTTGAACTGGATGAGGGGACTTAAAGACGGGAAGAGAAAATTCATTCAGTTTTTGTAGACATGATAATTCTTAATGCATTACTAGCAAGAGCTGAATCATTTGTTAACTGGCATTTAGGAATATTAACTAGACATTAGATTCTTTACAGAAAGCGTTACTACGTCACTTCAGTATTTTAGAAGGTGTTTTACCTTGATCTTGGATCACCTGCTATCAGATTTCCAAATTCTCCCAAGATGTAGCCACCCACTTTTACAAGATTCTCATGGCATGCTGGAGCTTGGAGAGCCTGTAAGAACACACTAGTAGTCAAGGGGCTGCAGTGTATCAAAAAAGATGTTTTCTGTCACTTCCCCGTCCAGTTTCCTAGTCTACTTTTCTGTAAGAACAGACCATAGATCTAGGCACTTACAAGAAAAGCACGATAGGTAGTATGACTTTATAGAAGACTAACATAAGTATTACTTAAGAGAACTCTTAGGTCCACCTGGCAGCACTGTGGACTTTTGAGGACAGATACAGCTGTTTAGGTTTCTCCTTACATCTTTAGGGGTTTCAGAAGGATATTAATATACTTAATTTAAACCTTGCAAGAAGGTGCTGAACTTGTCCAAGTTCTGAAAGTCAGCTTTAACATTCAGGAAAGGAAATTAAAAAAAAAGTGGAAAGCCTGTATGAAGAGTCCAAATGAAGTCAGAGCAACAAGGCTAGACAATTGAAAGTGTACTCCTTTAATAGTTCAAATTCCAGATCTAAACAGAAAGAATGGATATATGCTTCCAAAAGGATCATCAAGTTAGCATTATGAGTGTTTTGGATTCCTGCATGAAAACAACAAAAACCAGAAGCAGCAAGCCACGCTATAAAAGTCTTCTATTTTTACTACATTTCAGTAATTTTCCAGGTAATGCAATTTCCTTACTAAGCCACCCACCAAAATAACAAAAAACCCCGCATAATACACCCTGCCCTCCCTCACCAAAAGCAGAACAGCACCAGGTGTATTCTACATTACTTCAGCCAGAGAAGCTTCTCATCACCTTAACACAGTCTCTGGCTCTGAAAATCTATGATGCCAGTTTTAGAGAGCTTCAGCAGTGTTTTGTTGAAACATTCAGGATCCTATTTTTACTCCTCCCTAACATAGGGAAGCATACACACCTGCTAGATCACATGGTGTTTACTTAATTCCTACCTCGTTTTGAAAGTGAATTGAAAACAGTTATTCTCACCTCAAAAACAGTCTTTGCTGCATACCCTTGAACATCATCCCTGTTGATGACAATCTGAATAACTCGATACCACACTTCTTCACTGACATAGTCACCAGCAATACGAATCAGATTCAAGATTGTATCCACATACCAGGTATAATCCACTGCATACTTCTCAGCTAGAATTGCAACTTTCAGAACCTGAACACATGTAAGAGAAGAAAGAAGGTTGACTAGCTTCTACTATAAGCTACGTACCGAGATTCACTTTCATATACACCTAGTGATAGCCCACAGTAGCCCAGAAGCCTCAGTTTCAGATGCGTCAGCTTGCCTACTTGCTCCCACAGCTAATGGGAAAGATGAACATTGAAATTCTGTGCCAGAACACACCAGTTGCCAGCTACATTAATGCTTTCCCCATAATACATTTGAGTGTGTTGCACCTGTGGCTTTTCAACTGTGTACCTAAACGATCAAGAGTGATTTATTGAACATTTTTGTTTGCTATAAAAACACCATCTAAACCATCACTGAGACAGGACCAAGTAGGAAATTAAAGACCTCTTAAAAAAAATAAAAGGGGGGGCACAGAGACAGACCGGAGTCACCGAAATATAGCTGACTTTCAGGTCATACTAAGATTCCTATAACCTGAAGCAAACAATCAGCATAGGAAGAGACCTCCACATAATTTGTTATCAGTTGCATTTATACTGACCTATTCTTTTAACAATAGTAAATTAACAGAATGAAATCTGCCAAGTCAGAAAAAATTAAGGAAACAAATATCTCACAATTTCTTCTCTAATGGAATAATCAGCAGTCTCCAGGTAATTGAGCATTTCGGCCACAATCTGTTGGGCATTGCTTCGGTCACACATTGCGTACAGGAGATCTACAGCTCTCTGTCGTACACTTACATCTCTTTCAGTCTGTAAAAGCACACACAGCAAAAAGTCAATATTTGGAAAGCATATAAAACTTACTGAAGAGATGAAACTTACTATAATCCAAATTTGAAACAAATGCATTTTCATAATCTTTCAGATGCAGAATACCCTTCACATAAGCTATGAGTTTCTCACATTATTCTTATTTTCAGTCACCTAGAAAGAGGTCACTGGAGACTCATGACAGCTTCCTGCTCTTAGATAACATTACAAAAATTCAAATCCTCAGGTTTTGTTTCTGTAGTATATATATCCAAATCTGTGCAAGTGCTGAAAGGATGGAGGATTTTGTACAGAATACTCCCACTACTACCCTAACTAGGGTGAATGAGTTTGTGGTTCACTGTGCACTGGGTAACTGGCACCACTGGCCACAAATGCACTAATAACTGGATTAAATTGTCAAACTGACACCAGGCCAATGGGCAACTAGCTACCTGCAGGCTTAGTGTTGGGCTTGCCTTGTATCAACAGAAGTTCAGCTAGAACAGATATGTACTTCAAAGTTAGACAAATGTATTAACATGCTACAGTATGAGCTTGGAAGACGACAATACATGAAAACACTGAAGCGTGCAAGTAGATTTAGATGCGAATCAGTCTTCCTCTTTCGACTTCTGCTTTTTCACATAAACACAGCCTAGGAATGTGTCTTTCTGGTTTCTTGACTTTCTGATTCCACAGCAGGAGTTGATCTACCCTACTCCTCCCCAGAAGCTACTGCAATGAAGGAACAGTGTCTGAGACCAGCAAGAGAGCGGTAAAAGAAAGTCTCCCCAGCATTTTCTGTTTTGAAATTCCACGTTTTGAGTTTTTAATCTTCAATCTACAGCAGAGAGTTACAGGGGCCACAGCTACAAGTATCGGGTTTACTAGTGAGCTGCAGAAATAAACTGAATCTGACCTCCATCGTTGGCAGCACAGCAAGATTTTGTAGGATTAAGGAAAAAAATCGAAAGCAGACTTCTAAGAATAACTCATTTGGTCCCCAGTTATTATTAATTTAATTGGGAATGGGGGGCTTGGGGCAGTGGAGAAGAGGGCATTGAGGCAGGGGAGAAGACAACACTCAAAACAGACTGCACATGTAAATATTTACCTTCAATGCATTGATAACTGTTTCTATGTGTGTTTTCACAGCCTCATGTGAGAATTCAGAGCTGGCAAGCGTGCACATGCTTTCCAGTGCTAGGTAACGCAAATTAGTTTCTCGGTGCTGCAAGAACTGACCTAGTTGGTTACAGGCACGGACTAGTAGATTTGGCTCACTGCACAGAACAGGAGAGAAAGTGAAAGGGTTAAAAGCAACAGGTTTGAGAACACCCAATACAGAACACTATTTCTGCAGTGGAAATTTCTTACAATGCTTTACAGCGTCTGCTAGAATGCCCCAATAGCGAAATGAAAATTCAGATACTGTAAGCAAATAACATCTGTTGGATTAGAGTGGTGGGGTCAACACAAAACACCAAGAAAAAAAAGCAGCAGCAAGAAACAAAGCCATAAAAAAAAAAAGTATGCCGACAGCAACACAGTTCATTATTACTGTTCAATTCCATTGCTGTGGCCGTGTTCTAATATAGCAAACAACTTCATATTCTGTTCTCCCCACTGCACCTCCAGCAACGTTCCCTTTAGTGTTCAAGACAAAGCCACAGCTTTTCCCTTAAAAAATCCCCCCATAATAAAAGCGTTCTCACAACTCACCTGTCATGATGTATAATTAAGCTTATTGCCTCAAACAGCACAGCATTCTTTGCATTTGAGTGTTGGACTTTTTTTGACTTTGGTGGCTCCTGTGCTTTGTTAAGAATAGTTTCCAGGCATTCTGTTAGACGACCACGTACCGCAGGGTCTTCTGGAGAAGAATGAGCCGTTGGACAACTTCATATTCCTCAACACCCTAATCCCTACCTTAGGCCTTCCACCTTGTTAAGTCTGAATAAACTGAAGTATTCTGATACATTAAAAAAAGTTCAGCCTCCCCCAATATACAGTTGGCAAGAGAATTGTAAGCCACCATTCTATTTAGGTAAGAAAAAAAGCCAAATGCGATCTGCACTATAATATATTTCAAGGCTTAAAAATTGGTAACATTAAAGAATGTTTAAAATGGCAGTTGCAACTGGCTTGTAAGATGCACACTGGTTTGACACCTTAAGCTATACTAAAATTAAACACAATATAATTCAAAAGGCCATAATCTGAAACACCCGATAGTACAGACTTCAGTATCCTTGTCTTAAGACAATGTGCTCGCACTCCAAGTTATGGTAACACTACAGCACAGTAGCTCTTTGGAGACAGTGTACTGCATAAAAGACCACTGTTATGATTTGTGCATTACCTGGAGGTGGATAGCACTGTAACAGCCTCAGAAGTTTCACAGATAACCAGGGAGCAGGAACAAAGTAGTAAGTATAGTCCTGAAGATCTGTTGATGCAGAAGTTACAATCTGTAAAATAAGCAGAAAGCATGTCAACTACTGAAGTTAAGTGACACAAAATCACAAGAAGAACTCGAACACTAGGTCGCTTTTGACAGAGGCTTATAAAACTGTGTCACTAGCAATATTTAATTCAGTAGATTAGTTAGGTGCAAGTTGTCATAGTATGAGTATACCACCAGGTTGCCTAGTATCTGTAAAACTGAATTTCTATTACAATAGTTGAGGAAGTCTCTTCCTGAAAGCATACCTGCTTTTCTTGAGAATTAATACAACCATCTTGTAATCCAAAACATTTAACTAGAAGCTTGAGTTTCTTCGGTTC